ATGTCTTCCATTTTCTGATGATTGCTCCCACAGTTGATTTTTTCACACCAAGCTGCTTGCCTATTGTAGATTCACTCTTCCCAGTCTGGTGCAGGTCTACAATACTTTTCCTGGTGTCCTTCGAAAGCTCTTTGGTCTTGGCCATGGCGGAGTTTGGAGTCTGACTGTTTGAGGCTGTGGACAGGTGTCTTTTATACAGATGATGAGTTCAAACAGGTGCCATTCATACAGGTAACGAGTGGGGGACAGAAAAGCTTCTTACAGAAGACGTTACAGGTCTGTGAGAGCCAGAGATTTTCCTTGTTTGAGGTGACCAAATACTTATTTTCCACCCTAATTTACGAATAAATTCTTTACAAATCCTACCATGTGAATTCATGGATTTTTTTTTCACATTCTGTCTCTCACAGTTGAAGTGTACCTCTGGTGCAAATTACTGACCTCTGTCATCATTTTAAGTGGGGGAACTTGCACAATCGGTGGCTGACTAAATACTTTTTTGCCCCACTGTATGTATATTATTTTTAGTGTTGAGTTTCTCCTAAAAGTTGCTTTATGTTTCCAAATCAAAGATATTTTTTCTTAAGTGATACAACTGCGCTTATGTATCTGCAGTTAACACCCAAAAGAGCAAAATTATATTTTATGTGCTAATGCACACTCAATGTAATGTCATTAAAACAACTAGTTTATGAATGTTACTTAAGATCTTTCCTGTGGCGTTTCTACAACATGGCGTTCGCTTCCTCGCCCGCGTTTTTTGACTGAACTTTGACACAGGCTGTTCTTCAGCTAGGGCTCAATTAACAAACTTCAATCTCACATAAAAATAACTCTAGGACTTAAACATCAAAATGCATCGATGTTAAACCGAATGTATACTCAGTAACCTACATTTGTTTAGTCATGAATGTAAAACGGCCCAGCCTTTTGCTGGTCAAACCTTCATCAACGCTGCAACGATTTCAAAGTAGAAAGAAGAAAAACGTGTATTACCCTGTCTTTGCAGAGTTAAAACTGCTCTT